CCACGGCTGGATTTGCCTCGAAGTCCTGGTCGAAGCGCGCCGTGGGAGGGCTTCGTGGGCCAGCGGTGTCGGCACCAGAGGGGTGCACACGCCCCCCTCCGTGGCTGGGCGGGGGAGGCGCAGACGCGGATCTTTGGTCCAGACCGGGCTTCGCCAGGGTCGGAGTACGTGGACGGTTGGCGTGAACCGACGACGACGCCAACAACGACGGCGAGGGCGACGACGGACGACAACGACACCACGGCGACGACGGACGACCGACGACCGACGACGACGACGACGACGACGACGACGGCGACGACGACGACGACGGCGACGGCGACGGCGACGGCGGCGGCGGCGACGACGGCGGCGACGACGACGACGACGACGGCGGCGGCGGCGACGACGACGACGACGGCGGCGACGACGACGACGGCGGCGACGATGGTGGCGACGACGGCGGCGACGACGACGGCGGCGGCGGCGACGGCGAGGGCGAGGTGGAGGGCGAGGGCGAGGGCGAGGGCGAGGGCGAGGACGGGGGCGAGGGCAGGGGCGGAGCGGGGGCGGGGGTGAGGGCGAGGGCGAGGGCGAGGGCGACGGCGGCGTCGTGACGGCGACGACGACGACGACGCCGACGGCGGCGACGACGGCGGCGAGGGCGACGGCGGCGGCGGCGGCGGCGAGGGCGAGGGCGAGGGCGAGGGCGAGGGCGAGGGCGAGGGCGGAGGCGAGGGCAGGGGCGGGGCTTGGGGGGGTAATGGCGAGGGTGAGGGCGAGGGCGACGGCGGCGTCGCGGCGACGACGATAGACGGCAGAGGACGGACGAAGACGACGACGGACGACGGTGACGACGATGACGACGATGGCGACAAGGGCGACAAGGGCGGCGTGGTGACGAGGACGAGCGATGGACGACGACGACGACGTCGAGGGCCCCAGCCATCCGAAGATTTTGTCACTGCGCAGCAACAGAAGTCCAGATTCCTCTTCCGGGCTCCGTGCATTGCCCCCGAGCCGTTTCTGATGACCCCGGGGGCCGAGATCGAGGACAACGGCTTGATGGGAAACATCACGTCGCTGGAGATCTGGGGCGGCGACGGCGGCGACGGCGTCGACGAGAACGGCGACGTCTCTCTAGGCGGCGGCGGCGACGGCGGCGATCCTCGATCCTCGATCCGCGAGGCGCGATTCTCCTCGACAAGGCGCAGACCTTTCGCAATGCCGAGTCTTCTTTTTCTTCTTTCTCGACCCTCATCGATCCCCTTCGATCCTTGATCCTCCCTGGTCCTCCCCAATCCTCCCAGATCCTCGCTCCTCCCCGATCCTCGCTCCTCGACGATCCTCGATCCTCCTCGATCCTCGATCCTCGAGCCTCGATCCTCGATCGTCGATCTTCCTCTTCCTCCTCCTCGATGCCCGATCCTCCTCCTCGAGCGCTGGTGGCGAAGAGGACGGCGACGACTTCCCAGGTGATCAGGGCACCGCGGGAGACCCGGCGCTGTGGCGGGGCACTTCCTCGGAGGCGCTCCCGCTCCACTCCCGCGGGGTCATGCGGCGGCTCTCCATGGACCTCGCGGGGCCGAGGAGGAGGAGGAGGGTGAGGAGGGGAGGGAGGAGGGGGAGGGAGGAGGGGGAGGAGGAGGAGGAGGAGGAGGAGGAGGAGGAGGAGGAGCAGGAGGAGGAGGAGGAGAAAGCAGGAGGAGGAGAAGGAGGAGGCGATAGGAGGAACAGGAGGGAGCGAGAAAGGATAAAGTAAGACAAGGATGCTGCTTGTGCTGATTATGATGATGATGATGATGATGATGATGATGATGATGATGATGATGATGATGATGATGATGATGATGATGATGATGATGATGATGATGATGATGCTGATGATGATGATGATGATGATGATGATGATGATGATGATGATGATGATGATGATGATGATGATGATGATGATGATGATGATGATGAGATGATGATGATATGATGATGATGATGAGATGATGATGATGATGATGATGATGATGATGATGATGTGATGATGATGATGATGATGATGATGCTGCTGATGATGATGATGATGATGATGATGATGATGATGATGATGATGATGATGATGATGATGATGATGCTGATGATGCATGATGATGATGATGATGATGATGATGATGATGATGATGATGATGATGATGATGATGATGATGATGATGATGATGATGATGATGATGATGATGATGATGATGATGCTGATGATGATGATGATGATGATGATGATGATGATGATGATGGTGCTGATGCTGATGCTGATGGTGTTTATGATGCTGATGCTGATGCTGCTGCTGCTGATGCTGATGATGGTGGTGATGGTGGTGGTGATGATGATGATGATGAGGAGGAGGATGAGTTTAAACGCAAGACTCGTCAACGATGTTGCAATAAACCCTCCCTCCAAGCACCCTCTTCGGAGGTCCCAGCAAGGATTCACTTTCACTGAGGGAAGTGCCCCGTTGGAAGACACCCGTTTGAAAATCGTGAACTGTACCAGAAATCTCCTGGGACTGTAACACCTTGAATCAACGTGACTGTTGCGCTCTGACGGTCTGGGATGTTAGTCGTGATAATCCTTTCCTGCTGTGAACTCCTAAAACGAAAGTGCGCGGCGCTCTGGCGAGAGCCACATATTGGAAAGGAACCACCCTTCATCGGTGAACTCGTGCAAGTTTTTACAACCAATGTGCGCGGCGCCAAGGCGAGAGCCACATGTTGAGAGGGGACCGTCCTCCATCCGTGAAGCTCTTGCGCTTTTAACGAATGTGCGCGGCTCCAAGGCGAGAACCGCATTGTGATAAGGACCCGCCTCCCATCCGTGAGACTCTTTGCAAACCTTTAGCGCGAGTGTGCGCGGCGCTTAGGAGAGAGCTCCGTTGTGAGAAGGATCCGCCTTCCCTCCGTAGAACTATTGCGAACTCTTTTTCGACGAGCGTGCATGGTGCTAGTGCGAGAGCCACATTTTGAAAACGGCCCGCTCTCCATCCATTATCGCAGTCCTAGAGATTGTCACCAACACCAAGATCGGCGGTGTGCCTCCACCGAGGGAAGAAAATCCCGATCTCGGTGATGGTGGTAATATTCTGGCTTCCAAGGTGACCGAAACATTACCACCAACACCGAAATCTAGGATCATCTTCCCCCTATGGAGGCAACCCTCTGTTTTGGTGTTGGTGCCCATTTCCAGGCCTCCCACATTAAGCTTTTCAATTGTCAGCCTAATGGCCATACATTACGAGGAAGGCCCAGCCGAAACGCCCCGCCCGCCCCACAGACGCGCCCCGGGGTGCGACAGGGATCAGTTCTTCATAGGGCAAGGAATGGGAGAGGGAGAGGAGGAGAAGGATGATGAGGATGATGATGATGATGATGATGATTGATGATGATGATGATGAGGAGGAGGAGGAGGAGGAGGAGGAGGAGGAGGAGGAGGAGGAGGAGGAGGAGGTCATAAGCGCACAACTCACTATCACTATTAATTCTTGGGGTCGACAGCAGGAAACCAAGTCTTGGGAGTTGGTGGACCACCGACTTCCAAGACTTGTGTTCCGCGAGTCGGGCCCCGAAATTCAATAGTGCCCAGCGGGCGTAATAGGGAAACCACGCAGTGCGCGGCAATCGCAGTATCCCAAACCTCCCACTCCTCTTACCTCGCTTTGGGCCCCGTCGGTGGATCTATATTTCTCCAGTCGCCGAGGCAGGGCCTGACGCGCCGCCGATCACCATCGCCATCGGCATCGGCGCCGCAGCGGTTACCAGCGCCGCCACCATCACCGCCCGCGACGCCGCCATCGCATTCACCGCTACGTACCAGCATCATCACCACAGCACCCAGCATCACCTCGCGTACCGTTCGACGTGCGACAAACATGGTTTGAAAAATTTGCGTTGGCAGCGATTACGCTGTTTAAAATGATTGTCCTTCGTTCCGCCGTGGAAGTGCTCGCAGGTAACGTCGGGGGGGGGGGGGGGGGGGGGCGTCGCAGCAACGTGGGTCTTGCGCCTGCAAGGCTGTTTGAAGGTGCTCGCATGGGCAGCGCTGGCATCAGCGCGGGCGCCCTCGCGTGACCCGCGCCGCCGCCATCCCCATCTCCCTTCCCATCCTGACCCCGCCCCCTCTTCCTCCCCCCAGGGCATCGCAGGATGCGCGCCAGGACGCCCCAGGGTTTCAGAGGGCGCCCGACGGCTTCCACTGGTAGCCGTGGGCCCGCCCCCTCCCGCCCCCCCCTCCCCACGGCATCCGAGGGCTCCCGATGGCGCCCGAGGGCCCCCTATGGATTTTCATTCGTATCCGAGGGCATCCCGAGAGCACCCGATGGCTCCCAGGAGCCTCCGAGGGCTCCCGCAGAGCCCCCGGGGGCCTCAAAGAGCACCCGATGGCTCCCAAGGGCCCCCGCCAGACCGCCCACTCGTGCCCCTCCAGGGCAGGCCACTTGCGACCCGCGAGTCGGCCCCCGACATGGCGCTCCCGCTCGAGACACCCCCCCGCTTGATTTTTGCTGGAAAAGTCATGGTGGGGGGGCGCTCCCGAGCGGGAGCGCCATTTCGGAATGGCGCTCCCGCTCGAGACACCCCCCACGATTGCATTTCTAGGGGCCGGCTCGTGGGCCACGGGCCGCGCCCCCCTTGGGCGACGGCGGGGGGGGGCTGCGTGGGTCGCGCGGGCGCGCTCGGGTGCTTTCAGGCCCGCGCGGGTGCCATCGGGAACGTTCGGTTGCCGTCGGGTGTAGCCAGGCGCGCTCGGGAGCTCTCGGTGGCCATCGGGATTCCTGGGGCGCGCGTGGTGGAGTTTGTCCGTTTGGGCATGCGCTCGGGGGCGCTCGGGGGCTTTTGGGCGTTGGCTTCGGGCGGCTTCGGGCGGCCCTCGGGTGCGCCCGCGCATTCGAACGTTGGCCCTCAGGGGCCTCAGCATCCATCGGATGCATTTTTTGTTATCGCGTGCGTTCGGGCACACTCGGGGGCCTCGAGGAGAACCAGCGACGCTCAGGATTTCTCCTCCTCCTCCTCCTCCTCCTCCTCCTCCTCCTCCTCCTCCTCCTCCTCTCTCTTCCCTCCTCCTCCTCTGCCTCCCTCTCCTCTTCCTCCTCCTCCTCCTCCTCCTCCTCCTCCTTCGCCTCCTCCTCCTCCTCCGCCGCCCTTCTCCTTCCTCCTCCCCCCTCGTCTTCCCCCGCCGCCCCTCCTCTTTCTGAGCTGTTCCAGAGCTTTCGGCTCTTCGCCGACGACTCGATCTGGGCTCTGCCCCCCCCGGAGCCCCGCCCCCCGCTCCCCGGAGGACAGGATCGTCAGGGTGACGCACTCGAAGCGGCTGAAGTCGCTGTGGACGCTGCTGATCCTCTCGCAGTTCCTGGCCCCCGCGCTCAGCCCTCGGCGGGCCCGGGGCGGGCGCGCTCGCTCGCCGCGGCTGGACCCCGGGAGCGGCCTCGTGTCCGGCGTCGATCGACCTGGGCCTCGCCCCCCCCCCTGTCTGAGGAGGAGGAGGAGGAGGAGGAGGAGGAGGAGGAGGAGGAGGAGGAGGAGGAGGAGGAGGAGGAGGAGGAGGAGGAGGAGGAGGAGGAGGGGGAGGACCGACTCCCTCTGGGCTCGTCCCGCTCGGGCGCTCCGACCGCCTGCAAATCGGGGCTTCTCCCAGAGTCGCCTCCTTCGTCCTCGTCGTCGTCGTCGTCGTCGTCGTCGTCGTCGTCGTCGCCGTCGTCGTCGTCGTCGTCGTCGTCGTCGTCGTCTCGCCGTCGCCGTCGCCGTCGCTCGGATATTTTTAGTGGCCTCCGGCCAGTGCCGCCGATCCGGGGCGCTTTTGATGCTGCTGTTGGGATGGACGATGACGACGATAACGGACGACCAGCGGTCGACGAGTGGGATCATGACGACGACGACCGACGAACGGGGTAACGACGACGGAGGACGACGACGATGACGACCACGACGTTGTCGACGACGACGACGACCACGACGTCGACGACGACGACTGACGGCGAACGGCTGCCGACGGCCGACGACGAGGAGGAGTCTGATGATGATATGATGATGATGATGATGATGATGATGATGATGATGATGATGATGATGATGATGATGATGATGATGATGATGATGATGGTGATGCTGATGACGATGATGCTGATGATGCTGATGATGATGAGGATGAGGATGAGGATGAGGAAGCTGATGCTGATGATCATGATAATGATGCTGACTATGACGATGGTGATGATGATGATGATGATGAGGATGCTGCTGATGATGATGACGATGATGATGATGCTGACTATGATGACGATGATGATCATGATCATGATGATGATGATGATGATGATGATGATGCTGATGCTGATGCTGCTGATGATGATGATGATGATGATGATGATGATGATCAGGATGATGATGATGATGATGATGATGATGATGATGATGATGATGATGATGATGATGATGATGATGATGATGATGATGATGATGATGATGATGATGATGATGATGATGATGATGATGATGATGATGATGATGATGATGATGATGACGATTATGTAGTGGCCTTCGGTCAATGCCGCCACCGTGCCTGGGTGGTGTCGGAGGGCTCTTCAGTGTTCGTTGGGATCTCGTGGCAGGTCTCTCGGGGGGCCTCATGGGTACATTTTTTAGGCATCCTGGGGGCCCTTGTGGGCACCCTCGGGGCCTCTTTTGGGCCTTTTGGGGGCCTCTTCTGGGCCTCTTGGGTCCTGCTAGGGATCTCTTGGGGGCCTCTTGGGACCTCTTGGGACCCTCTTGGGGGCCTCTTGGGGGCCTTTTGGGGGCTTCTCGAGGCCGAGGGCTCGAAATTTCCGTTCGGGTTCCCCGTCGGGCTCCCCTCTAGGAGCCGTCTTGAGAGCTTCTGGGGCCGTCTTGGGGGTTTCTGGGGCAATCTTGGGGCTATCTCTTGGGCCGTCCTTGGGCCATTTTGGGAGCCTCTTGGGCCGTCTTGGGGCGATTTGGGGGCCTCTGGGGCCGTCTTGGAGCGTCGGGAAGCCGAAAAGGCGGGAAGGCCAGAAGCCTTCCAAAACCATGGTGAAATCGATGATTTTGGTCTCTAAGGGTCCTCTTCTGAGGGCTTTTGGAGGCTTCTCGGAGCGTCTCGGCGGCTTCTGGGGTCGTCTGGAGGTCATCTTCGGCGTCTCGGAGCGCTCTTTGGGCGTCTCGGGGGCTTTGGGGCCGTCTTGGGGGGTCTTGGGGCCCTCTAAGCCCGTCGTGGGGCCCTCGAGGGCTCAGAAAAGCCCCCTCCAGAAAGCGGACCACAACTCGTCCCCCCCCCCTCCCCCCTTCTCCGGCAGAGCCCCCCTGGCCCCCCCCCAAGCAGAGCTGAAGCTCAGGCTCTAGGCTGCAGGCTGTGGCTGAGACTTTTTCAAACTCACACGCCAGATCGGCGGATTCGCATGCAGGGGAGCGAGAAGTCATGATACTGATGCGTTTCAAGATCTCCAGATTTTCTTGCTGCCCCGCGCGGGCATAGACGACTGTCCGCCAGAAGCGACAGAACTTCCAGAACTTATCCTGAGCCAGCCGTATCAGTCGGCGGCGAGCCCAGTGGGGAAGTGAAAAGGAGCGGGCCTTCTCAGAAGGCTCGGAAGTCCCCCGCCTTCTGAGAACTGTTGTAAGCCTTCCCCGAAAAGATAAAACAACCTATCAGAAGGCGCGAGATCTTCTGAGAAGTCCCGCCGCCTTCTCAGAAGGCCTTTTCCTTCTCATTTCCCCCCCCCCGCTCGCCGCCGACATAGAGAGCCAGCCGTATCGTTCTGTCCCAGCGGCTTGAACGTCAGCTCTGCGTGAGGCCCGTGCGGATCTCTGGGGTCGGCGCTGCACCCCCCCTTCCTCCTCCTCCTCCTCCTCCTCCTCCTCCTCCTCCTCCTCCTCCTCCTCCCCTCCTCATCCTCCTCCTCCTCCTCCTCCTCCTCCGTTCCTTCTCCTTATAAAAAAACTTCTCCCTGTCGCACCCCGAGGCTTGTTTTTAGGGCGGGCCGGGCGTTTCGCCTGAAACTTCCTCACCGCTCATGACCCTGAACATTGAACAGTGACAACAGTTTCACGGATTGGGGGGGTTCGTTTTCGGAATGCGGCTCTCGCCTTAGCGCCGCGCACATTCGTTGCACAAGCATTGCAAGAGTTTCACGGATTTGGGGCGGGTCGTTTTCAAATTGTGGCTCGCGCCTCAGCGTCGCGCACATTCGTTTTCAAAAGTAGCAGCAGTTTCACGGATTGAGGGCGGCTGGTTTTCAAGATGTGGCTTTCGCCTTTGCGCCGCGCGCATTTGTTTTCAAAAGCTGTAACAGTTTCGCTGATGGGGGGCCGGTCGTTTTCAAAATGTGGCTCTCGCCACAGCGCCGCGCACATTCGTTGCTCACCAATTGCAAGAGTTTCACGGATTGGGGGCGGGCCGTTTTCAAATTGTGGTTCGCGCCTTAGCGCAGCGCACATTCGTTTTCAAAAGTTGCAGCAGTTTCACGGATTGAGGGCTGGTGGTTTTCAAAATGTGGCTCTCGTCTTTGCGCCGCGCGCATTTGTTTTCACAAGTGGCAACATATTCACGGGTGAGGTGCGGGTCGTTTTCAAAATGTGGCCCTCGCCACAGCGCCTCGCAGAGTCGTTGCACTCCAATTGCAAGAGTTTCACGGATGGGGGGTGGGTCGTTTTCAAATTGTGGCTCTCGCCTTAGCGCCGCGCACATTCGTTTTCAAAGTTGGTCACAGTTTCACGGATTGAGGGCGGCTGGTTTTCAAGATGTGGCTCTCGCCTTTGCGCCGCGGGCATTTGTTTTCAAAAGCTGTAACAGTTTTGCTGATGGGGGGCGGGTCGTTTTCAAAATGTGGCCCTCGCCCCTGTGCCGCGCACATTCGTTGCACCACAATTGCAAGAGTTTCACGGTTTGGGGGCGGGTTCTTTTCACATTCTGGCTTTCGCCTTAGCGCCGCCCACATTCGTTTTCAAATTTTGGTCACAGTTTTTTGGATTGAGGGCGGGTGGTTTTCAAACTGTGGCTCAAGCCTTTGCGCCCCGCACATTCGTTGCACACCATTCGCAAGAGTTTCACGGATTCCCGTGATCAGCGTACCCGAAATTGTGTTTCACAGTTACGTTGATTCGTGGTGCTGAAGTCCCAGGGATGGCGTTCTGGCGCGGTTCAAGATCGTCAAGACGCACCAGTCAGGTCGATCCGTGGCTTTGGAGTCCCGAGAATAATGTTTTGGCAATTCAGGGTCTTCGAACGTTTGTCTTCCAACGAGGCAGTTCCTTCCGTGGAGAAGAACCGTAGTAGGGGCCTATGCAGAGGGAGCTTGGAGGGAGGGTTTATTCCAACATCATTGATGTCTCTTGGGTTTACACTGGTCCTTCTCCTCCTCTTCCTCGGACCGAGATATAAGATCGAGGTCGTTTCGCAATTTCGGGGAGGTTACCCTACTGTTCTTCGCGTTTGTTGGATGTTCTTGTGAATCCTCGGGAGAGTACCCTTGGACGTTCTACGTGTTTCGGCCAGCGGATGGTCTCGCGTTCTTGAAGGATGTTCTTCTATCCTGGGTCCAGCTGTATAGCCAGGACCCTGGTTGACGGGAGCCGGTTAGTGGTTTGGACCCGCAGCCCAATATATTGAGTATATTACTAAACCAAGCCTGGCGTAGCTGGTGTGTCCGTCGGGTGACGGCAGTTCCGGTTAGGGTACGGAATGGGGCGGGGGTGGCGTCCCCTGGTACACATTCTTAATACACATTCTTAAATAAGGTCCCACTACATCCAGTCCCGCCAACGCCCGAATGACGTGTCCATTGGTTCTTGTTCTTCTGTCCGCTGTCGTTGTCGCCGCTTGCGGGCAGGGTTTTCGGGGCGGCTCCTGCTGCGGGGTCCCCAGCGTGAGCTCCGTCTTCTTCGTCGTCGTTACAGTCATCGTCGCCGCTCCTGCCCCGAGGTCCTGCAGATGTCCCTGGACATGCAGAACCCGTACGTCGGGCAGTACCGG